GGAGAGGTGAGCCCAGAGCCAGAGGCACGCAGTGTGAGCCCCTGTGCTCAGCCACGGGGCAAGAGGGTCTCCCCTCCCTGCTGTCACCCTCCCCAGCCCTGCCCCGCTCCTCAGAGCCCTGGCAGACTCGGTGCACTTGTGAGGCAGCTGAGCAAGCAGCGCATCCCCGGCTGCCTGCCCATGTCCCTGTCTTCCTGTCCCCTCACAGGTCGCCCACATCTTCTCTCACATCCACCAGACGTATGTGGTCTACTCCCTGCCCCTGGATGGGGACGTGACCCTGGACCCTGCCTTGTCCCCTTCCCGCTGGGTGACGGAGGAGGAGTTCCACGCCTCAGCTGTGTCCACGGCCATGAAAAAGGTACTGGGGGGACCTGGGCCTTTCCTCCCTTCTCTCTGCCTCCCTGGAGTCCCAGGGATCCCCCAACCTCTGCGGGCTGTCCCAGCTGCAGGACCTGCCTGCAGTTCAGCTCTGGGCTCTCCTGTGCTTCCTTCAGGTGCTGAAAGCCTGTGAGAAGCAGCGTGGGAAGGAGAGCAGCCCTGGCAAGGTGGGCATTGCTGGAGGACGTACGGCCCCGAGAGCTGCTCCGTGCCGCTGTGTGGGGTGCTGGAGCCCCCCTGGGCTGTGGGCTCAGCCCAAGGAGTGTGCCTGGGCTGTGGGCTCTGCCTGGCTGGCTTTGCCCCTGGATGTCCCCAATACCAGGGTCCTCCTCTGGCCCTCAAATCCCTGGAAACCAGGGGGGCCCTGGGGGTCTGGCTGAGCCCCAGTGTCTCTCTCCTGCAGGGCTCCAAGCGGAAGCAGGGGGCAAAGCCGCAGGGAGCAAGCAGCGCCCGCCCTGGGAGGCAGCTCTCCCTCCACGCCTTCCTCCGGGCACCCACCTCCCCGTGATGGCACCTTCGACATCTGGGACCACCCCAGACCTGTATCGCAGTGAGTCCTGCCCGTGGCGGGGGGGGGGCGGCCCCCCCCCCCCCGGTTGGCTTTTTTTTCTCTCGCTCCTTGCAGCAAATGCCGGCTTCCCCAGTTCTCCCATGGGAGTTGTGCCTTGATGGGGCCAGTGTCGTGCTGGATGTGACCTGAAGCCAGGTGTGTACTCCCGGTTCAGCTGGAGCTCTCCTGGGGTTATTCAGCCCTGGACAGTCCCCACTCCAGCCCTGTGGGCTCACCGCAGCAGGAGTTTCTCTGGCAGCAGGAAGGCTGCGGCCACATCACTCCTGTCCCTCCACATCCCTGTCCCTGGCTGCCCACCTGCACCTCGTCTGCCAGCCAGCGATTGCGGATGCTGCTGTACCCTTCCTGGCCTTCGACAGCCCTTTTTATACACTTGTTTTTACTGAACCTGAGCCACAGGCTTTCTAATAATAAATCTTCTGAAGTGTGGGTGGTTTTTTAAGTGACTTTCTGCTTCTGTTGTACTGTGCTAAGCTGGGGGTCTCAGGCAGGCCAGGTGACAATGGCCAGCAGGATCCCTGCATCTGGGCTGGGGACAGCAGCCATTTCTTTGTTAACGCGCCCATGAGCATTAACTGCTGATGATGCCAGTAATCAAGCACCTCTCCTGCGAGGGCTGGGATCAGCCCCTGGGGGCTAAGCAGCTCTCCCCTGGGCTTGCTGTAGGGTTTTATCCCTGTTTTTACCTTTTCCGTCAGTCACTGCTCACACTGTGGCTTTCTCTGACAGTGATGGCCAGTAGCACCCTTGCAAAGGCACGAGCCCGGGAGCCTCTTCTCAGGGAGCTCCCGAGGGTTTTTTCTCCTTCCCCAGGCACAAGGGGCAAAGGGCCTTGGTTTAGGGGCTGCAGCAGTGGGGCCAGCCTGCCTCAAGGGCTGGAAAGGGCTCTTTCATCCTCACCTGGCGGATCTTAAATGGGAGGAGAAAAAAATCCAAAGCAGTGCTTGCAGGTTAATTCTTTAATTAAGAAGAGCAAGAGGCCATCACTTGCCCCCCTGTGCCAGGAGCTGGCCATGCTCGGTGCTGTAACCGGTTATGAGCTGTGGTGTCCATGGCCCCTGGGTTACCCACTCCCCTCGGGCAGCCCCTTCTCCATGTTGAGGGGTGTTGCTCTGACAGCAGCATCCTTGGCCATGCTGCAGGCACAAGTCTGATCAGATGAAGATGAAATTAAGGCAGAAGGTTCTTCACATGAGGCCAATAACTCACTGGAACCCAGGGAGGGGGAGAAGTACCCTCCATCCTGGGGGACGCTCAGAGCCCCACTGAACCTGGCTCCAAGCAACCTGCTGTCACGCTGAAGTTGGCTCTGGGTTGATCTGAAGATGTCCCTTGGTCCCTGCCACCCTGGCCCATGCCGCAGGCACCCCCTGGTATTTCTACAGCAGCATATTGCCCCAGGGCTGGGCCGGGGAGGATGGGAAGCTGAAGGAGGAGTGTTGCTGTTACTGCTGCTGGTCCATATAGACCTGCACAGCTTTCCACAGCGCCCGTATATTGCCCTCCCCAAAGCCCGGTGCTCCCCGCCGGTCAATGAGCTCCAGGAAGAAGGTTTCCTCGGAGAAGATGGGATGAGTGAAGATCTGCATCAAATACTCCTGGGAAGGGCTCTCTGTAGCATGAGTGCCTGGCTGTCCCTTGTCCCCAGACACTGTGGTGTCCAGCAGGATGCCCAGCTCTGCCAGTGCATGGGGGTCCTGTCCAGCCCCCCGGATCTCCTGTGCTTTGCCCCCCTGGCTGTAATAGGTGGCAGGGGGTGTGAAGAACTGCGCACCCCACTGCTGCAAAGCCCTGGTTGTGGCGACGATGTCGGTGGTGCAGAGGCCGACGTGCTGGATGCCGGCCCCACCGTGCTGCTCCAGAAAGGTGTCGACTTGGTTGGGGCTGTTCTCTGAGAGGGACTCGGCGAAGACAAGCTTGCAGCCGTGTGCTGGGGAGCCCTGGGCGCTCTGCAGCGCGAGGAGCAGCATGCCCACCCCCTGCCCGCCCAGCACGTACCCCTCGGCTGGCTTCTCCTGTGGGTTCAGTGGAAGCCAAAGCAGCGCTGGTACCAGTCCAGAGCTGCCCGGGCACTGCCCCGTGGGCAGACGTACGTGATGTGGTCAAAGTGGGTGATCTTGATCCTGTCCCCTGCGGCCAAGGAGGATCCTCGGATGGGCTGGAAGCCGGGCAGGAAGGGTCCCTGGTAGCGGGATCGGTCCAGAAGGGTATGGCTAATGTTACCCACAACGGAGCTCACCACCCCATAGGTGACAGAGCCCCCATCGTCCTTCACCTCAGTGGGGGGCACCGGCAAGAAGCATCCCCGGCTCTGCAGCCGCTTGCAGAGCTCCGGCACGTCATCCACTTCGAAGCAGACATTGGAGGCTGTGCCCGAGGGTACCCGCGGGGCC